AATAAAATAACTGATTTTTCAGGCGAGGTAGTGCGATCTAGGAGCCGGTGCGATATCGGCAACCTTACCCTATTATTTATAGATTAGATACATTTATATACTTGTTTTTTTTTTTACTAAATTTTATAATTATGTTTGCTCTTTAATTTTGCCTAATATAATAATACAATTTTTTTCATTGTATATATTTTTAAAATTATTTTCCAACTTAGATATAAATTTATTAAACAGATTGTTTACAAACTTATTTGTTATAATTAAAATGTTACTTGACAGTTGAAGGCATTACAATTATGCTGAAATAATTTTCCATCTGTACGTCAACATTTTTCCGCAAAATTAGATCGCAAAAGTAAAACAATTTATAATGCTAAAATAATTTTCAATATATTTTCGAAACTTTTAAATACAATAGAATAAGTTTAAAGAAACATTTTTAATAAAGATAAAGAAAGGCAGAGAAAAATATTTGCATCAAAAATGATAAAGTGCATACAGCAGTAAAAGCAGACATTGACATGGATTTTATAAAATTTATTGTTTATAAATAAATACACTGTATTTACGTGATTGGTATGCAGGTATTTGACGTATGAGTACATAAGCAATGTGTCAGGATTTACAAATTCCTTGTACATTTCGTTTCATACACAATTAAAGCTATGTGGTTATAATTACTTTTTGAACATAAAATAGTTTGCAACGTCACGCAAAGAGAGTGAGACGTTAAAATTCGCCAAGCAAAGCTGAAAAGAGACGAAACTGCCTCATTAGCACTTTGGTTTGAAGATCTCCAAGTAAAAGCACTGATTTATCGTGTAAATAGCAATGGGTGATTTAAATATGATTTCGTGTTGTTTAAAATCATTATGCAATGACGACTTTAATTGGTTTAAATTAAATACTTTACACAAATAAAAAATAACTCTTTGTAAAATTTAAAATCAATGTAATTACACGAATTAAATTACAAAATTAGTTAATTTGAGAATTAAACATGTTTGGAAAAAAATTGTCTTTTGCATGAAAAATTTTGTTAATTATAGAAATAAAAATTTTTAAGCTTTAAAAATATGAAAATTATGAATATAAATTTGTTTTTTCTACACTGAGTGTGTAAAAATATTCCTACGCTGTTCCACAATTTAACGAAATTGTAAACGTTTGCGACAAAGTATTATTTTTAATTAATTTATTAATAATGTTTAAAAAAATTGTTGTTTCCTTTTCAAATTTATTGCATAAAAATTATAAAATGCACAAAATGTTTGTAAATTGATGTTATATCACTGTTTTACATTAAAGTCGTATAATGTCCTTGCATAGCTGCAAATTTTGAAATAGAGATAATAATATTTTTTATATATAAAAGAATATATAATTAATGCTGTGCTAAAAGATTTCATCTTCAGTGCACACTAAATAAACGGAATATTATGTGCCCTCATTGTTTTTCGTATAAATAAATGCATTCGCACTCTAGGTGGTTAATAAATTTAAAAATATTAACGAAATGGTATATTTTTGCATATAAAGTTGCATATTAAGCCCGACTGTACTACTTGAAGTGCGTTTTGTAATAACGCGTAACTTAAGAAATATAGCAGACGCTGTTATGCACGTTTCTTATTAATGACGATGCAACACGGTAGCGCATATATTACTACCTCTCTTTTACAAGCGCGATTATTACAGAGTAGTCACTATGCTGCAATATTGATCAATATTTTACACGTTATCATGATAATATGAAACTGATATCTATTATTGCGCTATTCGTTGACAAACGCGTGATATTAAGTAAATAAATTAAAAAATATTAACTGATTTCAAATATTAATACTGATAGATAGAACACGTGTGCAAAACAATATAATATTTTGAAAGAAAGTCCTCACGTTTAAAAACTCAAACTTTTTTATTTCTGTAAAAAAAAAGAAATTTTCTAGTCATTTGTTCTCGACATACTTTTTTCGAATTAATTGTTTCTCGAATTAAATGTGTGCTCGAAAAAAAAGAAATTCGTAAGAAAAGTCTTATCTTTATTTGCATAACCTTCGAGTAATCGCGAGAATAATTACTAAAATTTTAATTTGCGCACATTTGACAGAAAGTGTAAATATATCACTCTGATTTCTTTTTTCGATAAGAATACTCACACATAAATTGTACGTTTTGACCGTAATACCGAGGCCCTCTGCCAGCGTTCGATAGATAGAAAAACCAGGGCGTGGAATTAGGATGTTTTGGCCTTCTCGAGCTAAAACCGTAATACACAAGTCGAGTGCGCAAGAACATCCACTGCACAGGATTACGTCCTGCAAATATTATAGAAATACAAAATATTTTATTTTCGCATGTTTTACTTTTGTTCGCGTTATATTAAATGTAGAATGGAAACGAAAAGTAATATTTTTAAAGTAATAAATTTTTATATTTTTACAGGCTTCCTTCATATATTTTAAAATGGGTTTACTCGATATGATAAAAATATTCCAGCATTTCGATATTGAAATGTAAAAAATACATCTGTATGATTAATCAAATAAAAATTGATAAATTATTTGTTACAAGAATTCGCCTACAGGTAAATAAACTGAATATGATATTTACACGTTGAACGTAATTGCATATGGAGATATGGAAGAATATGTATGATTAAAAATGTTTTTTAAGGAAAAGAAGTAAAATAATATTTTCCTACAGTAAATATTTTAATTTTTCTACTGTTATCCAATGAAGGTTTTACAATAAAATTAATATTTATAATTTAATATGTTTAAATAATTTAATACATCATTTGTAAAAAATTGGAGATTTGTTTATTTGTTAACGACATTAGCTATTAAGTATATAATAGCATTTTACTACTCTATACTTCTTTTTCTATCTGCAATTTCATGGCGTAAAAATTCGCGACATCAAGTTAATTAACTATCTTCAGGATTGTATGACTATACTACTCGGAATATGAAATCGACCACGTCATCCCCTTATAAAACCCATTTTGCCTTCCTTTCTTGTGGCGGAAGAAGAAATTTACGATTGTTATTAATATTAAATAAAAACACAATAAAATAATGGAAGTCAGATAAACATTGCTTACCTGACTTCATTGCTTTATCCAACGTTTTCTGTCGATACATCTATATTATTATACTAATGTTATACGAATTGGTTGAAGATGATTTGAAGTAAACCGAAACGTCCTAATAAGTCTATATTGGAAATCATTGTTTTTAATATACCTATTATATATGAACATTTTAGGATTGTTATATAAACTGCGCACCAACTCCCGCGCTGTGTAAAGCTCTCATTGTCCGTACATTATTTTATTGCGTTTTAATCTCGAGAGCCCGATTAGTTACTTTTTAATATTAAATAACTTGGGCAAAATTTGACTTCTCGCCATTCTTATTGAATAAGTAATAACAATATTGATGTTGAATAAATAAAATACGGTTTAAACACGTGATAAGAAATTTCAGTGTCACACTGAATCCAAATTTGTTCGCGATAGACATGTTGGACCTACGACATTTGATGTAAGCATGTGATCATCCTACCTTGGAATTGACTTTCACAAATTCGTTCGAGCTATATTCAGCTACGGCTTCTCGCGCCATTTCATGACCTGTAAAATAAATAAAAATTTATTTTTCATGTTGCCGAATAAATATAAATAATATAATTATTATTATTGCTCAAATCATGCAATGAAAATACCTGTTTATTAATAATTTAATAATTTATCATACAAGATAGACATGTCGCATCACCTAATGAATAAAGCGGTAATTATTTTCAATATTATTTAAATTAATAATTTATAATCGTTTAGAAAATTGTATAATAGCACATATATACATGAAATTTATGTCAAAATTAAAATTTTTTTGTTATTTCTATCGTATTCAAAAAATTTCCCGTAAACTCTAAACAAAATTATTTAGAATTTAGAAGACCTTTGTAGAAAACGATATAACTAATTAAAGACCTTATTAAAAATTACCTATGCTGGGTGCATATCCATTGTATAATTGCGAAGCGACGCTGTCTTGAACAGCCTCGATCACTTCCTTTGGTGGTATTAAATTGCCGAAAGTTGTAGGATCGCCTTAAAACAGAACGTGTAATAAAATTTCAAAGGTCGAAGTAATCTTAAAAAAAGTCCACTATATTTATTTTTTGTTTATCCTGCAACAGTAGATGCGTAAGCCCCTACAAATATGACGCAAATCTGGTTTTTCATCAAACATTCACCACTGTATTGTTTCGCGTAAACACCTAATTACATGTATATACCATGTTGTTATAATTGATTACTGGATTCAACTTGGATAACCGTAGGAAAACACCAGTTTACAGACGTGCTGTCAAAGCGCAACGAAACACTCACCGTGCAGCTTGCATTCAGAATATAATTGAAATTAATTAATTGTTTCCCGGAGGCTATCCGTCGTAGTCAATCCTTGTTGCGACATTTCTGTTGCGAGGCAACAACGCGATGGCGAAATAAAATCCGAGTTCTGCGAATGCCACGAAATTCATGTAATTACAACTTCGCCATTGTTAATTTGGAAGTATTGTATTTCGATGGCGTTGAAGTTAATACTTTCCAATTATATTTTACATTCCTATTATAGCAAATGTCAATAAGTGAACGTACGAACATTTAAATCGTTGAGTTGTAAATTATTAATTACGCGAATTGAATAACGTATGTAGGTACAACTCTTACTCAAAATTTTTTATTAATTAATTATATTATTTTTCATCATTAATTCATGCGGATATATTACTTCAAACTATATGAGAAAGTGCGTATAGATTTTTGTTCAACATAATTTTGTACAGTTGTAGGGAAAAGCAATTAAAAAGGAAACAAAATGATTTAATCAGATCTATATCAGATATTTTTAGGAATAGATACATTTTTAAATGTTTTTATTAATTTTATTAATATATTTTTTACTATAACTTTTATATATTATTTTTTTTGCATTTTTAACTTTATAATATATTTCAAACTTCAGTGTAAATAAAAATTTATATACGCGTTTTATTGTATTATATACATCTCTTTTGGATAATGAAATTTTTTTTAGTAAGTCAAATTTTTTTATTTTACATAGCCTTTTTCATATAATTAATAATTTGTTAACAATTCAAAGAGTTTAGTACCACTAATTAATATTATGAAACTCAAAACCTGTTTTAAGATATTTTTAGAAATCAAACACTGAAACTTTATCGAGATACGAGATATGTACCTATAGCGTATCCCAAAATTTGCGTACATGTAATGCCAGTGCGATTTTGTGTGCTAAAAGAAACAACTTTTTTCCGTGACAAAGTTGTGTCCGAGCAGTAGTTTTAAAACGAAAACAGTTTAAAGCTAACGAATGAACGCTCTAAAGTTACGCATGAATATATCAGAAGTGGCACTAATTTTGGGATATTTTGTTACATACATGCACTATATTTAGTATGCTGTATCTTAATATGAAAAATTTTTTTCAAAAGATTTTCATTTCTATCAAAATTTTTTTAGAATTTTCGGATATTTTTATTTTAAAAAATTCAAGATATTTTTATACCGATATCTTATTATTGTATTATACTCCTTATTTTTCCATCTACAGAAACAAAAAGGAATACTATACTATATGAAAATTTTTATGTCACTGTCATTCTATTTTCGATGCTGTAATCTTCTTCGAATTGCATATGTATAGAACAAAAGAAAGCTCTTGAAAATGTGTACAGCCGCTGGCACATCCGGTCGGGATTTGTGTATCGAAATATATTTAGATTAGCGTGCTCGTATGTCAGTTCTATTCTATTCCACTATAAAATTTGTTGAGGACGTTTTTCCGATATATTCTGACACATCCGCATTCTGTGCTACTCGTGTTCTGCAAATGTTAAGGGGACTCACGCGTCACTACCATCGCCTTTTAACTTTTCATCGCTTTTTAAAACTCCTCTGGATAGTTAAAATCGCGTATCCCAGCAGAGGAGAGGTTTAAGAAACTTTCTGAAAAATTAAGGAAGTTAAAAATACTAAAAAGAACAAAAATGTGGGATTAATTCTCGCAGACAAACATTCTCGGTGCTTTAGTTTAACGTGTGTATTCAGTCAGACGGCGTCACAGCCTTTTTCATCCCTGCTGTCAGTTTCCGCAAACAAAGTTTCTGATTAAAGAGAACATATCGTTCTCTTATTTTTCAAAAGTGATATAACTCCAAAAATTGAATTTCTTAGAGAAAGGGAAAATTATTGTTCAATTTGACAGAAAATTATCGCAAACTTATCAAATAATATCATCAAAAAGAATATATTTTTTGAGACGCCTCCAGACGAATGTATACATCAACACACATTCGTTGCACACATCAAATATTGGCCTGCAATTAATATGCATAATTATGTATGTCATGTATATGATATTTGTTAATATTGATATACGTTAATTGGTTATATCATCTGGAGGCGTCTTGACACGATCAAAAATGTCACTTTTGTCATTTTTGCAATCTTTAAAAAAATCTTTTGGAACTGCGATGATATTGACGATTTTTAATAAAATTAAATTGGAAATTAAATTTACTTTTGATGACTGACAGGATAATATTTATTTAATTCGTGATAATAATTGATAAGAAGAATTACGTTTTTCGAGTTGTGTCAACTTTAAAATGAGAGCGATATTTTTACTTATTTAATTTAATATGCTTTCTTCAGATTTTATTAAATATTATACCGTTAAACAATATTTTTTTCTGAAAAGCGCGACTTAAAATCAAAATTTCGACAATATGTGAAATTTTTATTTGTGTGAAAACTACCGAAGCTAACATTTTTTAAAACTGTTATTAGTTACTTTCATGAAATTTAATATGAAAAAAATACGTAACCGAATATAAACGAAAAATGTTATGTTTAATGTTTGTTGTTAGAATTATTTATTGAATTAATCTTTAGCATTTTAAAAGCATTATTTTTTTTATTGAATTTTTTTCTTTAAAGATAAGTGGCGTAGAAATTTGATCGGGCCAAGCATATTGCGATTGTTTCACTGCCTCGAAAACTGTTATCCGGTAAACCTTTGAAAAAGTTATTCCCTCTAGAAATACACAGAAAGTCGGCAAACGAAATATTTTCTATCCTGCATCGCGTATATGCGTACCACTATTTTTTAAAATAAACTGCATGGTAAGTTTTATTATTTCTGAATGAAAGAGATGAAAGGAAGCAAGTTAACCCGCATTTTTTAATTGAATTATTCAGAAATTAACACGATGAAATGTATAATAAATATTAATACGAATGTAGAAATTTATGCCCTAAATTTAAGAATTCTATATTTCAGAGTATAAGCGACAAATATAACTATTGAAATAGGTTGTACTTATATAATCGATATGAGCGAACAGTAAAGATAAAATAATGTCTGAATGTAAGTTTATTTTTTTATGTATTATGATCTATAAAATAATTTATAATATAATAATTTGATTGAGCCATCCTCGGATAATACAAAATTCACAACCTTAAAATTCATTTCCATCGTCATTGAAAAATCGTGATGAAAGTTTTCCAATTTATATAGCGATGTTGATGAATGCCTCACGGAGACCATGAATTACTTGCAAGCGATTTACTGATCGATTGTTGGAATTTCATGATATTCTAATTAAAAAAACATATTTGTTAACCAATAAATAAAAATAAAAAATTATATTAAAATCTGAATAAAATAAAAATCTTTTAAAATATTATCTACTTTTAAAATCTGTAAAAAGTAAGCAAAAACGTCATCTCAATAAAAACACTCACCAACGTAACCGCAGTTATCATTTCTTAAGAAGAAATACTTCGTCAAATTCATCATAAAATCGTGTAAAATATAAGAAGTAGTATATCAATCAGATAGTAATAATATACAATATAATACACAGTCACTATATTAAAACTTGATAATCCGTACAGATCGAATCCTTGCAGACTTCGTAATGCAAAAATTAGAGAGAATGTCTTTGTTATCTTACAATAATCAGTTTCTTTTTTATTGTCGTTATGTTGACGATCTAGTTGCTGCTGTTCCTTCCTCTGAAATCAATTCGTTTTTCAAAAGTTTTAATTCGTTTCACTCACGTCTATAATTCACGTTAAAAGTAGGCTCTGACTCATTAAATTTCCTTGATGTTACGATCATGGTCAAGGAAAAACATTTAATCTCCAATTGGTATCAAAAACCGACTTTTTTGGGGATTTTAAAATTATTTTTCAAATCATCCTAACTCTCAAAAGAAGGGTATAATTTTTAGTTTGGTAGACAGAGCTTTATTATTATCTGACTCTGAATTCTATCAAAAGAATCTTACATTGATTATATTAATATACTAGATAATTAATACTTAATATACTTATATTAATATAATAGAGAACGATTATCCCATCAAATTCATTTTTGACACAATCAATGTTAGAATCAGAAGCATTCAGCGTGGAGGAGCGGTAGCACATGATTGCACGAACAATAATGATGAAACAAGGGATACATCATGGTTTACTGTGCCCATTTTTGTACCATCGATAACAGAGAAATTTAAAAAAATTTAATAGAAAGGATATTAAAGTTTCACATATTTTTGATAGCTCTAATAAATTGAGTAAGTTCATCAAGATATAAAAGGATTTTCGTTCAAATTGGTCAAAGAACAATGTAGTATACAAGATTATGTGCACGGATTGTGATGTCGGACAAACAGGTAGACAACTTAAAACAAGAATTACAGAACACCGTAATCATATTCGTTGTAATACATCTACTCGTACTGTAATCACCGAATATAGACTGCAGACACATGATTTTGATTGAAATAACATATAGATACTAGATGAAGAGCTATGTTATAATAAACGCTTAATTTCTGATATCTTAAATATTAAAAAGCAAAAAAATATTCTTAATCTCCAAACAGACACGGAGGACCTTCACAAAGCGTGTACATCGATTATAAATAAAATTGGACATTGTTCTTATCCAGTCGTTTTGTCAATCTATTAATTGCCTCTCAGTCAACCTTATCGTTAACATATCTTTCAAAAAAATTCTTTCTCTAAGATTCTATCTGTACAAATTATCAAGTTTTATTATAATGACTGTGTATTACATTGTATTATTACTATCTGACTGGTATACTACCTCTTATATTTTACACGATTTTATGATGAATTTGACGAAGTATTTCTTCTTAAGAAATGATAACTGCGATTACGTTTATGAGTGTTTTATTGAGATGATATTTTTGCTTGGTTTTTACAGAATTTAATAGTAGATAACATTTTAAAAGATTTTTATTTCATTCTGCAGATATTAATTTAATTTTTTATTTTTATTTATTGGTTAACAAATATGTTTTTTAAATTAGAATATCATGAAATTCCGAACAATCGGTCAGTAAATCGCTTGCAAGTAATTCATGGTCTCAGTGAGGCATTCATTAATATCGCTATATAAATTAGTAAACTTTTATCACGATTTTTCTATCGATGGAAATGAATTTTAAGGTTGTGAATTTTGTATTATCTAAGGGTGGCTCAATCCAAGAAACATGTAATGTAATGTGTTTTACAATATGTTATTTATAGAATTTTTTTTATACATTTAATATATCATATTATAGTTCTTACATTTATACTTAATTACGTTGACTCTTATGTGCCCTATACATTTTTGTATTAAACAATAAATATATTAATAATTATACAAATATGCTACATAAATATACTAATAATTCATTTAGACATATATAAAAGTTTACTGCAAACGCGTATGAAAATACATTAAATATAAATAAATAGGTTATTAATTACTGACATTTATTTATGAAACTTAGTAAAATAATTATATCTTGTAAACTTTTTTTAAAATGATGCGTAATTTGTATCAAGTTTATAGTTTGATTGTAGATCCAGCAATATAGCAATGAATTCTTATGATAAAAAGTTACGATACACATCAAATATTACGTAATTAACTCTTGTTTAAAGGAGAAAAATTTCGGGACGGGGGGATATCAATTCTAAATATTTATAAAAGATACTACGAAAATTTGATACGATAATAATAGACAAGCATATAACAGTAAAAATGAATTTATGAAATTCCAAAGATAACGCAGAAAAATTCTATGGATATTTGAATTTCATGCGTTTTTAAAAAAACGAATAGGTCGCATTGAACGCAGTTCGGTATTTCCAACCTAGTTCCTGTGGGTCTCTAGAGTTGCTCAAAATGCGCTTTTTCATATTCTAGCATATTTCCCTCGCATGTGATATATTTGACCTTCCATTTTTCACCAATCCGTCAAACTTTTTTCACATCAAGCTCCGGAGATCATGCATATTGAGGATCTAACCGTACTGACGGGGAACAGCGAAAGTTTGCAATTTGTATGCGTTTACCCACGTTTACCGACAAAGTCGGTATTCAAAGCCTTTGTAGGTGACCCCCTATTTGCGTAACGTTTTTCACAAAGTGCCGCAAATAAAACGAATAAAACTAATAATTTTGTATTTTTCATCCTTACGCATTCAATCTTTTATACTTTAATCTTCAATATATTTAAGCTATTTAATTATCGCATCCATTCTCATACATCAGTGACACTAAACGCGAATTATAATTTTGCTTGAACGCGTCACGCTTTCATTAAAAAAAAAACCCCGTGACGTATAATCCTCCCTTTTATTTTAAAGAAAAATTATCATCCTTACTTCGTGTGAAAAAAGAAAAACAACTGTTTATACCATGGCTACGTTCGGGAAGCGAACTATCAGCGCTATTTGTATCGTGCTATCCTTGTTTCACGTCTAGTGGACGATAAAGATAGAATGACATAAATAGCGCTAAATAGCGTCTCCTCGAATGCAGCCCATATCATGATAGACTATTTTGTATCTTTCTATCTTTAACCTTTTGTACACAGCGCAAAAGAGTGGCAATCCCAAGAATCCCAAAGAATCAATGATGAATTTTAAATATTATAATAAAAGTAAAGTATCGCTAGGAAAATTCTTAAATATCAATTTAAGATCAGAAAGATTCTTCTTATACAGAGCAAGTGCTTTTATAATTAGACTCATAATAAAATAATTCCTATATAAAACACGTGGAATAAACTCACCAATAGACAACGCGATCATCTTCTTGTTAGGATTGGGCTCGACGACGATATTCTCTACGATCGATCTTATGGGATTATACGTTTTCCGAGCGATATCGGAGGCGCAAACCTCCCAATGTTTACGGAAGCTGGGCGCCAACATCTTGTCGCTCGCAAAGAAGTGCCTCTCGGAAACTTTATCTATTGATATTGCCGGTAAATAATCAGTGGATGTGTGTCTGGTAAATAATCAGCACGTGTGTCACCAAGGGAACGTGAATGTCTCAACTCGCAGGTATTTGACGTTTACGATCAACAGTTCTGGCACAACTGATACACTATCGATACGATCGACGATTCTCGTTTAGCTGGTTCTCTGTCACTGAGTCTCGATTGAAACAGCGCACTAATAAACGAAATGCTCGGCGGAGGCTGGAGGACAAACGAACCGGTCGGATTGGTCTGTTCGGCACCACACCTTCTTTTAACTAAATGAATTCCCTACTTATACGTAGGGAACGAAGTTGCTCCGAGCAACTTCGACGTAGTTGTCATCTATACAGAAACAGAGTGCTTCTCCGTTTCTCCTTCACTAACCTCTACTAGTCTCCGTTGCACCTCCGGAGTTTAGAATGTAGAACCTTATCTTCACCAGCTCTATTTTGTTGCGTCTCTCTAATGTTTATGCAATTATACCTGGTAACTGTTTACTCCAAGTTACAGTCATGGAGATTATTCGAGTGTTGTTTCGGTACGACGATTATGACAACGACGACATCGCGAACGTGCGTTTGCTCGTTAATTGAGTCTAACGGTGTATTCCTCTCGCTTATCTAGTACGCTTGGTAAATTTAAGGGATGAATAGATAAATACATAAATGATAACTGTCTACAAAAACTTTGATAAAAACATGGTCGATCGAAAAAGCGTATATAGATGCATAAAAACAAAATTCATCATTTTTCGATGTGTTAGTCTTCTAATTTTTTTTGCAAATGTATCATATTATAAGCTTCTATTTTTTGACTATAAGGAAAAAATAAATTGAAATAATTATTAGATTTATGTATGTGGATATAATCATTTTAAATTTCTTAGGTAGTGTCCCGCGCTAAATGTACGCGTAGTGCAAAACCGCATATATGTATTTACATATATGCGAGCCGATTACTTACGAAATAATTGGAAACACGGCTGGATCGATCGAGTTCTTATTAGGCTTAATCGAACGATAGTTTGGGTTTGAATTACATAATAAAAGTGTGTTTCTATTCTTCCTATACGTGTCCTATACGAACGGAGATATGTAAAGTCCGAAATGGAAATTTCCATCAAAAGATATGGTAGTATCTCACGCGATGTACACGCGTATCGAGAGACTGTCCCGTGTATTTATACATAAGCCGACCAGTTGCGAGTACCCGAGATTATCGGATCTCAGAAACCACGATTAGGCCGATCGAATTCTTATCAGGCTTAATCGATGGTTTATATTTGATTTATATAGCAAAGGGATTTTTATTTTTCTTCTACGTGTGTCCTATATGTAAAGATATCACGATGTAAAACTCGAATCTGTAAATTTATTATTAAGAAACATTATCGTCCTCGTCGACTTTCTGTACGGTTGTTTTAGCATCACTAGATGACTCAGACTGTATAACATTTCGTAAAATAAACTTGAGAGCGAGGGAGCAAAAGAAATGGAGCGACTTTAATCGACTGTAATATTTCTGTTTCAATCTAAGCGATAATATTGTTTTTGTGTCATACAAGCCAAGCGCCAAAAATATTTAACATAAAAAATTTAGTGCTGCAATCTTAACTCTACATTAATTGCCTTTGCTCAGCAAACGAAGTTTGCTAGTACTCACGTATGAACGTTGCAGTGTTTGTATATGTGTTACTATTTAGTGCACCGTTACCGCATAATTTTTTTTCAGATCATGTGATTCCAATTTTCAGATAAGAAAATTATTGAAAAAAAAAGAGAAACCTGCAATAAAATAAATAACAATAATAACAATAATAAGATGTTGGGAAAATCGAAGATAAAAATGAATTAATTCTTTACATCCTAAATCTTTCTATTATTTTATCTGTATGTATTAGTCATATTTTTTTTATTTGTCTATAATAAATAAAAATACAATGACATTTTTTAATACAAATATTTCTTTATTATATAAAAATTTAATATTACGGAGTACTTTTTGGTACTTAACTATTGATCTTACCATTTCAAAAAATAAAATTATTAAAATATTTCTTTAATTTCTTTTTGATAGCCTTTGTTTATTCAAAGCGTAGTAGTATATTCAAAATTATGGTATAAGTTACATGAAAATATTTGTTATATTACGTTGAACTTCTTCTATTTTATTATAAACAAATTGATATAAGTCACTTCAAGCTATTTTTATGCTAGATTTAATGTGATAATAATAATTATGTATATTTTTGAGAATCAATGAAATTAACTGACCCAATAGTGTTTGCGAATGCCGTTATTGGACAATGTAAATTCAAATGAAATCGTAACAGTACAAATACATATATGGATTAAATAAAGCTTCAATATTATATTAAAGCGAACACGGAACGTTTGCTCCGATATTGATTGGAAATTTTGCATAAAGACGAGTGATAGTTCTTGTTAACACATATTGGCGATATTATCATATATCTCGTGACAAATGTAAAAAATAATTAATATGAGAGAAATTGACGAACAGATTTTGAGTAAAAAAAACATTTAACATCTATATGTTGGCGCAATATATAAGTAACAAAAAATAATAAAGTATATTAAAAGAGAGCAAAGGCAAATATAAGAGTCGTGCATGTTAAAGTGTTAATGTATTAAGTAAAAATGTCACAAAACTACATTAAAAACATTTGCTATAAAAAGTTTAATACATACGTTTCAACTCACTTCTGAGTCATCCTTGGTGCACTTCGGAGTTAATCAGCTATGCCGATAAATAAATAATAATGAATGAGTAGCTATAATCCTGCGTCCAATAATAGTAATTGAAAGGATCTCAAATTAAATCAAATTTTGCCGAGAACGTCACCAGTAGTTGCACGACTGGGTAGAAAATCTAATTCTGAAATGAGCGAAATAACTGCAAATTTGCTGGAGGGGTATAAAACGTGTAATATAATTTCAAATTAATTAATATTTACGTTTTTACATATTTCGAAAGATATTTTTTCTTAAAAACTCATATTTTAAAATTACTTTTACATAGCAGACAACGGAAACATCAAATTTCCTAAAAATAAGACAATAATGTTATTAAAGAATTTTATTAAATAAATCATATAGGGACATACTCTCTTATCGCACGTAACAACAGCAAATTTTTTAATGTCACTTAACACAAAACATTTTCCTCGCATATTTTATTTTCATATTTGCTAGTTTTTACGTGTTAGTCGCACATTACTTTCTTATTATATTAATAAGCTGTTTATGGAATTAAAAATCAAGGACATCTTTATTAAAATAAATACAGAAAAATCGCAATGTATATAAAAAAAAATGAAAGTACTCTTTTGTCTACGTTCTTTTCGTATCTGCTCGAATAGATCTAACGAAAGATAAAATTAACTGGAAATTTATCGAGTTAAAGTGCGATGGAAACTTTTTAGGAAGGCTTTCTTCCTTTCAAAATGAATCTCAGAAGGAATGCTGCGACGCCGGTTTCGTGATGTCAAACTTTGTCGAGCTGTCGGGACTGGGCTAAGATGGAATTTCACGTTTCGTGGCTCTATTTTACAAGATGCGGCATCTGTATCGAACCAAGGCTTCTCTCGTTGGAAGCTCGACTTGCTTGCTATGCTAAACACATTGGCCTCAGCAGGATTCCTTTACAACGAACGTCTCTCCTAGCTGCGCTCTTTGAGATTCCCTCGTAAACTTTCTTGCTACGACATCAATCGATACTGAGATATATCGGAATTTTCTTCGAGACGAGAATCTTGAGTAGAAAGTAACGTGATAGCAATAATATTTCTCAAACGTAACACAAAATATTACCGTATTTGAAAAGGAGATTGTACGAAATATAAAAACATATAAAATGTAACAGCTGCACCAGATATCGCTTATGACTATAAAGATAAGAATTGTATTGAATCTATTAGCATTGGGTTTGAATTGAAATTCAAACATTGATTGCAACCAGCGATATAAATTGACATTTCTGGGATGCAATTTCACGGCTCTATTAAATAGATTATAGTCCAATAAAACTTTGAGATTATAAATACAAATAATAAAAGGAGCATAATTTAAATTTAAGATTATAGTTCAATAAAACTCTGGATAAATTTTGTACAGTCCTTGAGCGCTCAATTATTGTTTTGACAAATAATCGTATTAGCCACGATCGAATCACAATTTTACAACATTATAATATAAGCTACATGTAAAAGATAATTTATAAAAGATTAATTAAAAATTTTTTGAATATTTATAATATTTTTGGTAATCCATAATTAACACTGGAACATTCGATGATTTTGTAAATAAACAAAATAGCAAAATAAATTTTTGGAATCATAAAAAAACATTTTAATGTATATTCTTGAATTTTTAAATAGACTATCGTGTACGTCATTTCTCATTAAAAATCCATATTCCGGTTCATCACGCCATTGGATGATTAATTTCTTTAATGGCGTATTTAAATACATGATGTCATCGATTGTGAAATATAAATTTCTGATCGCTTTGTATCTTTCGTAAAAAGAAATTATTTGAATATTCATTATTTTAATTCTTTAGAAGTGACTCTTCTTTGGAGGCTCGTCTCGGGTTGCTATGCTGACCGACTCCGAAAAAACTTCTTGACAGCGCTTCCGACAAGAATATCTTCCTTATCATATCGTTGCCAGATAAACTGGCACAATAGTTCTTGTCGGTAAAATTATTTGCCATATCTGTGATTTAAAATGACCGCGTATATCCCCGCTGCACAATAAATCTTGCATCATAACTGTAGCATTATTTTGACGCTCTGCAGACATCGCTTTTATATATTTTTATGTATAATGTTATGATTATATTTTATTTTTAAAAGTTATTTTTACAAATTTAATTTTGTATTTTTACTCCTATAACTGATTTTACTCTTTTATCAAAAAACTTTTATATTAAAATGCATATATTCGTTATAACTACTTTTGCAGAAAAATCTCTTCGTTATTAAAAGTATACTAATGATTAATGAATGATCATAGAAAAATCTCATGGTCATTGAAAATAAAGTGAGTATAATAAAGATTAATGAATAGGATAATTTATTTTTAATTATTTTTTTCTTGTAAGTATAACTTTATTTTACTATTTTTCTCGATAACAACCAAAGAATTTAGTAAAACATACTTTTATATTTTGAACTTTCTTCTTGGATGAACTTCTGACTGGATATCTATTTCGATTAGTAAAATTTAACGCAGTAATAAGAATGTAAAATTAGGTTAGAGCGATAATTTTTATTATTTATTATATGTATGTTCGATGACTTCGTTAAGGGGTTATAAAAATGTTATTATTTATTATCACTGAGGAAAACTTTATGAGCCGAAACGTTTGAATTTTATGATATTGTACTTATGTAATTAAAACGAATTTCATCTCATGAGTTAACTGTAATTGCTTGTTCACCCCAAAAAAATATTCTACCATTTAACGGTTCCATGTTAATGTCAGAAGATTTTCCATTTATATACGACCTCAATAGGATACTCTAAAAAAAAGTAAAAGAATTTCGTATAACCATAAAGTACTGGATTTAGGATTGCAATCCTCTCAATACTAGAATGTCTGACATGT